GGTGTTAGGGCTTGGGGTGGGGGGGGGGGGGGTGACAATAACTTAATAATTTCTCTCCCCTGCCCCAGATAAATGGTTAGTTCCGGCGGTCAGAGTGGTCACCATTGTTTAATGGTTAGTTCCAGCTGTCAGGGTGGTCTCCCTTGTTTAAATGGTTAGTTCAAGCTGTAAGAGTGGTCACCATTGTTGAATGGTTAGTTTAAACTGTAAGAGTGGTCACCATTGTTGAATGGTTAGTTCCAGCTGTCGGACTGGTCACCATTGTTGAATGGTTAGTACCAGCTGTCGGAGTGGTCACCATTGTTGAATGGTTAGTTCCAGCTGTCAGAGTGGTCACCCTTGTTGAATGGTTTGTTCCAGCAGCCAGAGTGGTCACCCTTGTTGAATGATTTGTTCCAGCAGTCAGAGTGGTCACCCTTGTTGAATGGTTTGTTCCAGCAGTCAGAGTGGTCACCCTTGAGCGAGTGATTAGATTTAGGACAAGAAATGTAAAATTATATATTTTGTAAATGAAAATATAATATTTGGATGTGTTGTCTAATCTCTATATGGTTTGAAAATATTTACCTGTCCCAGCATTTAAAAAAAAAAGAAAAGAATTCTGTCCCCTCATATTACAATTGGTCCTCTGTATACCCTAACAGTGGCTAACTTACTGTATACCCTAACAGTGGTTAATTGAGAGTATACCATAACAGTGGTGACGCAAAAGAAATGTCTTTTTTTTTTTTAAATGCGTCTCATACATGTCAGTACCATTTAATTGTGTGCGTCAGGCCTGCTTAACTCAAAATATAAGGCAGGCCGTAATACTTTATGTGTGCGAGCCGAAAGAACATAGGACAGTGGGGCAAAGCTATTAAGAAAAAAAAAATAATAACGATTATTGCGTTACTTCACGGGCTGCAAAATGGGTGCTGGCGGGCCGCGTGCGGCCGTAAGCTGTGCAGGCGTTGTGTACGCAAGTGACGATGACTTTCATGCACATAAAAACAGAAGAATTCGTCAAGTTAATAACACTGCCTTCCATTCATGGAAATACGTCTCGTGTTTTAACAACTATTGTGCCCATGAAGACATTTGAGAGACACTTGGGAGACACTTGAGAGACACTTGGGAGACACTTGAGACACTTGGGAGACACTTGGGAGACACTTGGGAGACACTTGAGACACACGGGAGACACTCGGGAGACACTTGGGAGACACTTTTGAGACACTTGTGAGACACTTGAGAGACAATTGAGAGACACTTGAGAGACACATGGGAGACACTGGCGAAACACTTGGGAGATACTTGGGAGACACTTGGGAGACACTTGGGAGACACTTGAGACACTTGGGAGACACTTGGGAGACACTTGGGAGACACTTTGGAGACACTTGGGAGACACTTGAGAGACAATTGAGAGACACTTGAGAGACACTTGGGAGACACTTGCGAAACACTTGGGAGATACTTGGGAGACACTTGGGAGACACTTGGGAGACACTTGAGAGACACTTG